TGGAGCAAGGATCAGGCCAAACCGGTCGTAAAATATTAACTGGCCGCGCAGAATCGGGAAAATTACAAACGGTACAAACCATGCAATAAAATTAATGTTGTTTAAATGCGGTTTGAAAGCGTCGTGCATTTGGAAAACGGAGGGAAACCGTGGCTACCTAAATAAAGCGAGGGTTTAATCCTAGCTCTGCATAGCTTTCTCGAATTTCTTCCTTTCATTTTGGCAACTTAGCTCGTTGCTTTTTCTCTTTCTCTCCTTCAGGAGGTTCCTTGCACCTTCAGGGGCCCGTCATTTCGCACAGAGGTTGCTTTGTTCTTCTTCGAAGTTTCTGTTTACCATTTTCAACCTTTAGATCCTTCGATACACGATGAACGCGTATTCCGATGTACACATTTTCTGCACTTTTAATTTGTTTACAGACGTTACTTTTCAAACTTATTTTTCCTTTTTTTTTTAATTTGTCAGATCGTAGTTTATAAGTTTATAAGTTCTGATGCACGCTAGCGATTAATAGAGTAACGCAGAGATGGAAACAGACTTGTTTCCCCTTTTTCACTCACTCGCACGAATTTACCTGTCTCATAGGTGTTTTTATATTTAAAGTTGCATCGAATCTGTCCAAAGCGATCAATCAGATTCCGTATTTCTCTCAGACGTTCCTTTTCCTTCTTTCCATTTTTGCACAGTAACTTCTACTCTAATAACGTAGATTTCACAAATAAATTTCTTTCAAACGCTTCGACAGTTGTTTTCCTTCTCGCACTTCCTTTCGTTGTGTGGTGTTTAATATAAAAGAAACTTTATATAATTTTTCGTACGTAATTTTATTTGATTTAGCCCAACGATAATTGATTAGTGAATACACAATACTGGATCTGTTGAATCAAATTAAATTACATTCATAAATTTCGTTAACACTGTACCATACGTGATGCATGAAGCTGATATACATATACACGTTTCTTGTTGAATTATATTTACTTATTGCAAATTATAAAACGCTTATATCCTGGACAATGTTGAATAATTTGCTTTTGTCTACAAATTACGACGTTTTATTAGCGCATCAGTACTGTTTCATTAGTATTATTGTATTTAATGTTCCAATAGTATTACTGTAGTATTACTTTTGAGCTTGCAAACCTATATTTATGAATATATATTGAACAATAAAATAAACTCTCTATATCGTTTGTCAATTGTTTGACTATTTAATTATTACTTTATAGTTCTGAGCCTTTGTTGCCTTAAAGTCAATGAAGTCTCTTTGTAAAATTAT